ATTTTATCAATTATGTCGGTAAGATAGTAATTATCACAGCAGAGACATTATAACATATATCTAATCTCGTGACTACCCATCTATATATCAGAGAACAAGAAGATAAATATAATATAAAAAAATAAATAAATATATTCTCTTCTTATTAGTAATCGCATAATCAAGATCCTATATCTGAATAAATTAAAAAAGAGTAAATTTTAAGAATTAAATTTGGATAAAAAAAAAATTCCGAAAGGTGGAAGTATTGAATAAATAAAAACTTTTATTATTCGCCCCCACCCCCCCCCCCCCCCCGCCTGCAAAAGGTTTCAGAAACCAGTCATTCAGTAACCAGCAGGTGGCACTAAGGGGTGCCCCTCACCCACCCATTCCAAATGCAGTGCCGGCCCGGCTGCTTGGGCCTGGGATGGTGCCGGCCTGGGTGCGTGGGCCTGGGATGGTGCCGGCCCAGGTTATGGGCATGGGTGTAGTGGCCGTGTTTATTCCCGTGGGAGGGCTCCAGTCATTACCAACTAAAATGTCCCCATTGGTCACTCCACGGAGACGGTAGCAAGGTCCTGGGGACATAGTGAGCCAATGGACACAGTGCCTGCTCTTGAGGAGCTCAGAGTCTGAGGACAAGGCATCTCCTTCCATCACTGTAGTTTAATAACAAGTAAGACATGTATTCCTCACTTATCATGGAACATCTACTTATTGAGTAACCAGCGTGGGGTAGGCGCCTGGATGGGGAGGGAGTGTAGCGGTGAGCATGCAGGCGCGGTCCTTTAGTGAATTCCACACCCTTGACATTCATCTTGATTCGACCGAGAAGTTGGCAAAGTGTATAAACTTAAAGATCGACTCTTCAAAAATACGTAACATGAAAGCAGGACAGTGGGTCCTCCCACAAAGTGCACTTCTGTCCACAGCCAGGTCTCCTGCTCAGTCCCAGTTAGCAGAGAGCAGTGTCGCTCCCCACCCGCCTGAGTACCTTCATCTCTTCCTTCCGTTTCTTGCAGTGATTGCCAGTTTCCGAGGCACCGTCCCCTACGGCCTGTCGCTGGAGATTGGAGACACGGTTCAGATCCTGGAGAAGTGCGATGGTAAGCAGGCCGCTGGGGCCGAGGTGGTGCCCACAGGCCCTCCCTCCACAGTTCATGAAGTTCATACGCCCGTCCACCCCTCTGTCCGTCTGGATTTTCCCAGGAGTCCCTGTGAACCGTTTCTGACAAGACTTGTGTCTTGCCTTCAGCTCTTGGCGGATGAGAAATCATCCTTTGGTATTTTTAAGCCGATGCTATTTCTCCCTAATATTGTTTCCTTATAGTCACTGGATGCCGAAAGAGAAAGCAGCCGAGACTCCTATGTTGGTGCGAGTCCATGGCACACTCGAAGGCCTGCCTTAGACTCTCGAGGGATGGGTCGATTCCCCAGGACAGAAATCCTTCCCCCAGTGGGGTGACCAGCGCCTCAGGGAGGGCCCCCACCCCGGGGGGAACTCTGTTCTCAAGCTGCAAGCTTGTCCCCCCTCCCGCCTCCAAATTTGGGCTAAAGTTACTTGATGCATTTGAAATGCTAGTAGAATATATTATATGAAATTGTATGATGATGATTAATTTATGGAGCAGGTAACATTAAGTCAGGATACCCAATACATTCTCAAGTGTTTCCATTCCTGCTGTGCAAAGCATCCTTCAACTTTAGTCCCCGAAAAGATCCCGGATGAAGGGACTATTCTTTGTTAATAGAATGAACACATTTTAAAGTCCCATCAGTTTATCCCAAAATATTCATTTCCCTCCAAGCCTGTTGTCCTTATTAGGAATCTACAATATGCTGATGTTCTGTCATAGGAGGGTTCACTATTGATTAAATTGTGTTCCCCAAACAGCTATCACATTCAGTTGGAGCCTGGCATTAGGTGGGGGTGGTACATGGACATGTACGCTGTTACTGAAATTGATACCTTAAAAGAGGTCCTGTTTTCTGAGTCATTGCCAGATGCATTTGTCCGTGTCCACCTTGCATGCAGATCAATACAAAGTTTGCTTTGGTTTGGTGCATGAAGATGGGCTCCCAGCCCACGGGCTGTTTGTAATCTAATGCCTCTCTGTGCAGTATCATTGGACAGACCTCTCTCTGGCTCTTCTGCAAGTCTCCAAGTTTGGTTTCCGTGAGAATAATTATTTAAGAATGGGTGTGTTTCTCGGATATGTCTTTAAGGGCTTTAATAAGCCCTAAGATATAGAAATTTCTGATTCTCTATTCATTCTGCTTTCTTTGGACTTTAAAACTGTCAGGCAGGACATTTTTACAGTATATCCTAAAAAAAAAAAAAAAAAAAAAAAAAAGAACTTACGCGGAGCAAATATATTTAAACACAAAGCTCAAGTATTCTTTTTGAAAATTGAATTAGTCACAAAAATTCCATTCAGTAGAACGTTTCTTGCATGGTAAAATAATTTCCTACCAGTAAACAAAGTAATTGTATCCTTGAAACTGTAAGTTGAAAATATTGTATTGCTAGGGGCCTATATATTAGCCATGTGTGTGTGTATGTATATATATATATATCCTGTACTCATTTTATATAACAAAGATATATTCCCCTTTAAGAGGGGGTGGGCTGTGGAATGGATCAGCGGGTGGCAGGTTAGGTGACAGGCCGCCTGCGGAATGGAAGTGATGGTGAGCTCGGGGCTGGACACTGAGCTGGTGAAAGAGTGGCCACGCATCCTCTTAGTGGATGAGCCCTGGCTTCACTCTTACTATTTCTTCCCAGTTCTTTTCGTGTTGGTGTCAGGGCACAGCTTAGTGGTGAGACAGTCCTGTCCTTTACGGAAGTATTTCCAGTGCCCCTGGCCCCATACACAGTGACACAGAATCACTGGCTGGGCTCCCTGTGCTGGGCTCCCCCATCTGGTGCTGTAAGACTGACCCTACCCCAGGCCGTGGCCTGAGGACCTGCCAGCTCGCTACGTGCTGTGGGCCGGGCACTGCTCTCCGGTGGCACCGTGGGGGCCGTGTTGCTGGGCAGAGAGAGTTTGGAAATCTGTTCATTCTTGTGCAGATCCTGGATTCCCTGAGACAGCAAAAAACAGATTGACTTGTAATCATTGCTTTTTTAAAAAAATATCCCAGTGGTTTATTTAAATGTGACTCTGATTATTTCTCCACAGGCTGGTACAGAGGATTTGCCTTAAAAAACCCAAATATCAAGGTAAAAAAATTATTCCTTCTAACCACAATTATGGGATTTAAAAAACCAGTTATTTTGTTTCATTATCCGATGGAAATTGCAGTTGGGGCTCTGCGTGGAAATGCCGCATGGCAAGACAGATTTTCATAAATTGGAAATTCCTTTGAACTCGGATTAGAGTTAAACTGCGCTACTCAGGTGATAATCCCGTGTAACGCCGGCGGTGTGTCCCGTGAAGACCTTAATATGCTCATTAGATAGAAACAAAATCTTTTTGAAGTGTGAGTTTCGCAGAGGGCGAAATTAAAATTCAGGGGGGAAGCACAGATTCCAAAAGAAATACTAACGCGAGGTATTTATTGTTAGGTTTTCTGCAGTCTCGTTTGTGGAGTGTTGGTTGGGGAGACTGCTTTATGCGGCCGTGTGTTAGGAGTTCCTCTGGGTTTCCATGGGGAACCAGGAAGCCAAGGCTCATCTCTCTACCACTCCAGACGGAAGTGAGACGCATTTATCTGTTTGCAGAAATCTTCAGAATTGTAGTCGGAAGTGATGATTTTTGTTTCACCTTTCATTAGTGCAGTTATGATTTTTTAAACATATTTTTATTGATTTTAGAGAGGAAGGGAGAGGGAGGGGGAAGTAGAAGCATCAATGATGAGAGAGAATCATGGATCGGCTGCCTCCTGCGTGCCCTGTACTGGGGATGGAGCCTGCGACCCGGGCATGTGCCCTGACCGGGAATCAAACCATGACCTCCTGGTTCACAGGTCGATGCTCAACCACTGAGCCACGCCGGCCGGTCCAGTTTATGATTTTGACACTAATCCTTACCTATATCTATATTTTTCCTCTTTATTCTAATCTCCCTAGCTTTCACCCATACTTCCTCATTCTCTAGTAATTTTTTTTATATATATCTCATGTTCCTTTTGTTGTTGTTGAATGATGGCTTTATTAGGATTATAGATAAGAAATTGTGTAATTTCTCGTTTGCCCGTCTTTTTGCCTTTTAACCTTTTTCTGTACGATGCAACGTGGTTTAATTCCTTTGTTTTATTTACTTTAGGCCATTCTAAAGGAGAGCCTGAGGGGCCATGGAGTATACAGATTTAATTTTTTAAGACTTAGCCTCATTGCAAGTTATTTTTGGACATCTGCTGCTCACATGCAAATGTAGCTTCCTTATGTAATTATCCGTTTAGAACTTGTTTGAGGAAAATAATTTATTCGGCTTCTGTTATTTCTGTCATTCTTCTAATCTCAGATTCGGACTTTTTCCTTATTCATTATAATTTCTCTGTTAATCTTACTGTACTGAGGCAAGTTTAAATTTTGAAGGAAAAAAAAAGTACTTTTAAGCCTGTTTACCTCTTTCCTACTGTTGTATGTATAGAATTTGGTTATTAAGTTTTATGGGGTCCTTGGATCCACAGTGGTGATAATGTATTCAAATGACATTTGCTTTCCTAAATATTTAATTGAATTTGTCACTTGATTATACGTCAACAAAATCATTCCGAGGATATTGTCATTTAATGGACAATAAAATTGATGCTCATTTTTAAAACGTTGTTCCTTTCGGTTCCCCATTGAGAACAAAGGAACAATGGGCTTGTCCTGTCGTTGCCACAATGACAGCTCTGAGCGGCGGGGCTCCCGGTGGTTAATTTGGTGCCACCGCCGCGGCAGCGGGTGATTAATGCCGCTGTTCGCATCGGGGTCTCCCGGAGCACTGTCTACCCACGTGGCCTCCCAATTCAAGTCGCTGCTTTAGTGGATATTCTTAAATACACACACGGGCGCTGTGGAGAGAAGAAAAAGAACATCCCAAACAAACCACAGCACCAAAAGCAACCTTTTTGTCAAACCATGCCATATTTTCATAAAATTCAATAGAACATGCTTCCTAGGCAGCATTCCTAAATTTTTTTAAAATTTCTCTCTTATGAAATATTTTTTTTTGAGTGAGCTTTAATTTTTTGGTTATGTTTGTTTTAGAGAAGCTTAACTTTGTACCCCGGTGAGGAGTAGAAAAGGAGTGGATCTGAGGAATGAATGGATCCAGCCTTTCAGATGGGGTGGCGATGTGGTCCCCCCCTTCCCCCCCGTCCACGTTGCTGTGGTTGTAGGCTGTGCGTTACCATGTGACTGTGAAACCACCCGACCTCACAGACGGCTCGCACCCTCACCTTCGTGCTTTCTCTTCCAGGGCATCTTTCCTTCCAGCTACGTTCACTTGAAACATGCCGGTGTGAAGAACAAAGGGTGAGCCATGAGTTCTGTTCATAGCGCAGGGTTTTCACAGAACCGGCGTAGTTCGTGTTGACCAACGAACGGCTGAAGACGATGCCGCTGCCCGCGCCGTGTGGTGAAGAGGGACAGCGCCCGGGCAGTGGGTGGGGAACGTGAAGGAGCCCGTGTGTGTGTGCTGGACAGGGTGGGCTCTCGGGCACAGTGAGGGCCTCCTGTCCCAGGTCTCGGCAGCAGCAGGGCTGGGTCTTGCTGGTTTCCTGCTGTGCAGGGAAGCGTGGTGGTCAGGCCACCGGATGCTGAGTCATGTCTCAAACCCCAGGAATGTCCTCGGTTCACCGCCGAGTGCGAGCAGCTAAGTCTGTCTTTCTGATCAGAGATAATACCCTATCCTCGCGTGACCGCTTCACAAAGCCGTTATTACACTTCAGAGAACACGATTTTTGGGCTATTTCTTTTCAGTCGAGTTCATCGGCTACCTAGGGCTTTTCATACATTTAAAACGTTTCTCCAGTCCCTCTTCAGAAGGACCCGAGGCAGCTACCCAGGTCCCCGATCAGTCAGATAAAGTACCACAGGATTAACCTGGAGGACGTGCTCACTGAAGCGGCTAACGTGAGCAGATGTGGATAAGTGGCCGTGGATTTGGACCCAAACATTAGCTGTCAGTGTCACAGGAATATGCGTTGCATCATTGGGAATATTTTTTATTTTATGACAAAAGAAAGAATACAGGTTCAGCCATGAAAATGACATTTTCCCTCCTAAAGCAAAAAACCCCCCCAGCAATTTCTTTGCATCATGAAAGCACATTTGGGAGTGTAGTAAATGATACCCTCAAACTTGAGGTTTACCAAAGGAATTCCAAGGATGCTATTGGAATGGACGATTCTTACACACACTCTCTGTGAAGGTAGGGTGTTCAGTCTTAGTGCGGTGAAGTGCCTTCTGCACATGGCTGAGTGTCCCTCTACAGATAAAACTTAAAGACTAGGATTTGCTTCTACTCTATATCTTAGCTACTTTAAGCTAGATGATTATTAGTAGTAATAGTAGTAATCACTGCAAACAGTAGTTGAGAACTATCATTATTCCAGTGCTAATAGTTACCACTCCTCCTTCTCTTGTAATTAAGCTGTGTCCCTCAGAAATGCCGGGTAGCCACGATCCACCAGAATGAGTCGACAGAGTCATCGGTCCTGTGGGAGTTCCCCCGCCTGGCGAGGTTGGGCGCTGCCCAGCACTCACGGCAGCAAGGGGACCATCCAGCTTACTCTCTCTTCTGCCCTGGCTGCCCCACATCTGGGCGGGGCAGTGCGCAAACCCCAAGGTCTCTGCCTGGTCCCAGACAGTGTCCACCATGGCAGACCTGTGCGGCCAGGCCTCTGTGTGACCTTTGTCCCAGACCCCTCCCCCCCCCCAGACTCCCTCAGTCCAGAGCTAAGGGAAGGACCCCCAGCCCCGTCTCCCCCTCTGAAGGAGGGATAGAGAGGAGAGATGCCAGCAAAGACAATGACTGTCGCCCCGGGGGAGCCCTACCTCTCGAAGCAGAGTTGGGTGGGACATCGTTTTCATCCCAACATGTGCCTTCTTTTCCTTATTATTATTTGTTTTGGTCCTGGCTTGTCGCTGTCTCGTATATGGCCCTGTTCCCTGAGCCCTGAGGAGATTACATGTAGCGAAAGGGGACTCGAAGTTGGGTTCAGTTCAAGACTTGGCTGGCGGTGGGTTCTCCCCCCGACACAGGCAGGATGGGCATCATTCAGGACGACGTGGAGGCAGAACCGACATTTATTTTCTAAAATACAACCTAGGGATTGAAGCCCTAGATTCTGGGACTGGTAACAGGGAGCAAAAGTTGAGCCTGAACACATTGCAGAACCAGCCTTCCCAGGTGACTGCTTCCCCAGAGAGGGGCCTCCTGGGGTTTTGATGTCACCTGTCCCACCCTCGGGTCCCAGCAGCCTCACGGGCCCCCGGCGTGAACTGGCTGCACAGTACACCCCAGAACAGCCGAACAGGATGTAACCTCAGGGGCAGCTACTCATGCAGGCCACTCGGATGTTGATTTCGGTGTAATTAACAGGAAACAGCTGCTTTTCCCAAAATGGCAATTTTGTGCTTCTTGACAGTTTACATTTTGGTGGAACAAACCCAAATCAGCGTCCTGCAGACTGAATTGCCTTTGCGTTCTTTCCCGGGTCTCCGAAGGATTGCAGGACGGGCGGGGGTCCTTAAGCTGAATCCCAGTTTGTGAGCAGCGAGGCCACTCTATGCTTCATGCCTGCGGGGTCAGGCCACTTTCTAAAGGTCAAGTAGGTTGTAGCCTTTCCCTGGAGACATGCTCCTCCCTCCTTCACCTCCCACCCAATCATTTCATCGTCTCTCTCTCTAAATGCCCATCATGTCGACCGCAGCCGCCACTTCAGAAGCAGAACGCAGGCCCCGCCTTTGGAACATGTCACCTAGCGACTTGAGGAAGGGCCGTGTATATCACAGGGCGTGTGCTATTCACTTTGTTTCTAGTGGCAGATCCCGGCCTCACCTGTCCAGCTGTGGCTGCCCCCTAGCAGGGAGGGAACTGTGCACAGGGCTAGGACGTGAGCAGCAGCGTGACACGCGGAGGGAGGCTGTGCTGGTGAAGGAGTCAGGGCGAGATGTCAGTGCCCGTACTCACTGCCAGGAGGACTCTACAGGAGACGGGTGTACATGGGACACAGCTCTGGAGCATGTGTGAGCCTCACGCTAAGAAGTCGCTGTCTCTTGCTGCTCCAGACCACATGGTTCTGTGTCTGATACGCTGTTACCTTCCATGTATGAGAAGCTGTCCCTGGAAAAAACTCAAGTAAAGAAAATAAGCCCGGTTATATACTCTGAAGCGTTCTTTTGAGAAGCAGTCATAATGGCCACTTAGCCATTTTAACCGGCATAAAAATGGGAAGAATTTGAAAAAGAAACTTGAGGCAAAGAAAAAGGTTACTGTGTGTAGAGGGAACAAATGAAGTCTTCTGGTTACCCCCCTCCACTTTCTTTTTTTTTTTTTTAATATATTTTTTATTGATTTTTTACAGAGAGGAAGGGAAAGGGATAGAGAGTTAGAAACATCGATGAGAGAGAAACATCGATCAGCTGCCTCCTGCACACCCCCTACTGGGGATGTGCCCGCAACCAAGGTACATGCCCTTGACGGGAATCGAAGCCGGGACCCCTCAGTCCACAGGCCGACGCTCTATCCACTGAGCCACACCGGTCAGGGCCCCCCTCCTCTTTCTTATGCATCTACCCAACGCGGGACCACCATCCTGGCCTTCCTAGATAGTGGGCTGAATCCTTTCCAAGCATAGTTTCTGATTTATAGAGAAGTAATAGGAGGACTGTAGGCCCCAGTCATGGGAGGGACATTCTACAGTGCACATTCAAATATCTCTAACGGCTTAAGCCCTCAATAAGCTTTACTATGAACGATAACATCACTAATCGTTACAACTAATCCTTGTCCCGGCCCCGTGTACAAACGATGACAACGAGTGGGAGTGACATCAGGTGAGAGTAGGTTGGTGCCTGGTGTCCAGTTCCTTAGAACACGGAGTGAGCTTGGACTTGGCAGCCTCATGTCCTGGGCATCAGTGAGCCTGTTTCGCCCTCAGCGCCCTGTGTTGGGGCTCAGAAAGCAAAGCCACGTCCCGGTGTAGGTGAGCCTGGCGACCTCACAGCACAGGTGAGGGCTTCGGGCCGGAGAGGGTAGAAGAGCTGTAGTCCTGCGGTCCGGCTGTGGCCAGAGCAGAGCTCCTCTGATATTGCTCCTTTCTCTCCGCACTCCTCCGACTCCATCGGAAGCGTGGCTGGTCGCTCGGGGATGTAGCCCCGTAACCCACCTGGCCTGCCTCACGCCAGTTTAGCATTTGATCCTGGTCACCGTCTGCAGAACCAGAAGCGCCAGGCGGCCTCCTGCCCTGGTTTAACTTGAATGTTCTCCAGAGAAAACGCTTGTCCGTGACGCTTGCCTGTGTGCTGTGTTTCTCTCTTTTACCGTCACAGACAGTTTGAGATGGTCATTCCCACCGAAGACTCCGTTATCACAGAAATGACCTCGACGTTGCGAGACTGGGGCACCATGTGGAAGCAGCTGTATGTGGTAGGTCGCGTTCCCGGGCAGCGTTTTTGGGTCAGGGAGTTGTTTTAAGAAACATCTGAGCAAGGGGGAGCCTGGCCTGGCATCCGGGCACCTGCTGTAAGCTCCCCCGGTAGTCAGGGGCCAGAGCGTAAGAAGACATCTTCTTGGGATCCGGAGAAACAGGGTCGAGGTGACAAACCCCCAGGGCTCTGTGCTGGGCCACGGCAAGGGAAGCGCAGGTCTCCTTGGGAGGTGAAAAGAATATGTTGTGAAGAATCTAAAATTCAAGAATTATTTTACTTAAAACAGCATTGTGCATGACACCAGCATGAAAAATGAAACTATTCGAACTGCTCAAATTAATGCCTCCTAACAGTGAAAGTGGTATCGGTTCATGGACCTAGACCCGCACGTTGCCTCTTCTGTGGGGAACAAAGTTGAAGTTCCTCTTGGTTCGGCCTTTCCTCACGATTTTTGCCTGGTTTTGAGGTTTCGAGCATCTGTTCTGGGGACAGACCAGATCGGCTTGAACATCTGTGTGTTAGGCTGTAGGAGTCACCTCCTCACGGCCTGGTATTCGGAGCGATGGAGACAGAATTACTGTCCAGTTTTCCTGGACACTGGGCTGGGCGTCAGTTGTACTGGGAGCAAATACCAGTTTACCCTGGAGGTCCCAGACGGGTGGCTTCGAGGATGAGGCTGGCGTGGCTGGGTTGGCCCTCTTGGGCATCCTGTCCGGGTGTGAATTCTCGGGCGACTGCGTTGGTATAAGGTCCCAGGCTTGGGTGCAGGGGCTACTGTCCCTGCTGTTTTCGAACAGCTCAAGGCACCGAGCTTCCCGGAGGAAAGAGGTTTGAGGAGGGCGGTTGTGTCTCCTAAATCAGCGGTCGCCAAGCTTTCGGACCTCACGGACCACCGGTTGGCGACCGCTGTCCTAATCGTAGGCAGCACGCGAGAGCTGCTCTCTGAGGGCCCTGAGCGCCTACGCACGTGGCCAGCGCTTCCGAACCGCTAGCTGCTCCACGTGGTGACGTCGGTGAGGCCCCACGATGTCCCTGAACATGTCACCTGACACTGGTCAGGGATACAGGCACGGAAAGCCTCCGGGAGACACGCAGCCTTCCGTCTGAGTGATGTGCAGGCCTGGGCGGGGGTGGACTGTCCTCCGGGGAGGTCTCCTCAGGTCTGTCCAGAGACGGTCTGTCCAGGGCCCCGGGCTCAGGGCTGGGGGTGAGTCTAAACCTAGTCTGTCTGCTGCTCCAGAACTCGGACTGTGTCCATCGTAGGCGAATAAAAACTTCCCCATCTCTAAATCACTCAGTTCTCACAATTAAAATTTGCTACACTTCTTTCATGGGTTTTACAAACGTTTTATGTATTGATTAATTTGAGAGAGAGAGAGAGAGAGAGAGAGAGAGAGAGAGAGAGACAGACAAAGGGAGAGAGAAACATCAATGGTTGCCTCCAGTACTGCCCTGACTGGGAATCGATCCTGCATCCTTTTGGTGCGCGGGACGACACTCCCACTAACTGAGTCACCAGCCAGGAAACAGTGTTTGCTACCTTTCGATAGTGTGGGACAGAGCTGAGGAAAGGAGGATTTGAGGGAGAGAGGGGGGCAGAGGAGGCGGTGGGAGGCACCGTGGGACCCAGACACAGCGTCTGTGCTGGGCAGCCTGGGAAGTGACGTCGGATTCCTGGGGAGGCAGCAGTGTCATCACACGGAGCGGGGGACGCGGGCACGAGGGCAGCGTCTGTTAGGAAGAATCTGTCCCCACAGAGGCGAGCACATAGGACATGCCCCCCTCCTGTGCCCCCCGCCCCACCCTGGCTCTGCCTGGCGACCCCGCTGAGGCTGCCGTTTGTGTGTTCCCCAGAGAAACGAGGGCGACCTGTTCCACCGGCTGTGGCACATCATGAACGAGGTGCTGGACCTGCGGCGCCAGGTGCTGGTGGGCCACCTGACGCACGACCGCATGAAGGACGTGAAGCGCCACATCACCGCCCGCCTCGACTGGGGCAACGAGTGAGTGCAGGCGGCGGGCGACACCGGCCCGGGCTCAGCGAGGCGTGGGGCTCGCCCCGGACGCACTCTGTGGGGCTCTCCCATTGTCCCCTTTGGGGGTTGAGTACAAACTGTCCTGGAGGGAGCCCAGAGCTGCATCCCCAGGGCTGGGCTGGTGTGGGCGCGGGCGCTGTTGGCTCGCTGCGCCTGTGTGGCCGATGGCGCCCGAGCTCCCAGGCACGACCCCTGGCAGGTGCATCAGCTGTGGCTTCTGCACCCACTGCGGCCTCAGCTGTGGCTTCTGCACCCACTGCGGCCTCAGGTGTGGCTTCTGCACCCACTGCGGCCTCAGCCATGGCTTCTGCACCCACTGTGGCCTCAGCCGTGGCTTCTGCACCCACTGTGGCCTCAGCTGTGGCTTCTGCACCCACTGTGGCCTCAGGTGTGGCTTCTGCACCCACTGTGGCCTCAGCCATGGCTTCTGCACCCACTGTGGCCTCAGGTGTGGCTTCTGCACCCACTGTGGCCTCAGCTGTGGCTTCTGCATCCACTGCGGGCTCAGGTGTGGCTTCTGCACCCACTGCGGCCTCAGGTGTGGCTTCTGCACCCACTGTGGCCTCAGGTGTGGCTTCTGCACCCACTGTGGCCTCAGGTGTGGCTTCTGCACCCACTATGGCCTCAGGTGTGGCGTGGGCACTTCCTGTGAACGGGCAGCTCCGTGCCACAGGCATGGGCGCCCTGCGACCCTGGGGAGACGCTGAGGTTGCAGCTCCCGAGTGGCCATGGGAAGCTGGCGGGAGGTTGTGAATCGGCTCTTCCCTCTCCCCTGGGGGCCTCTGAGAGGTTAAAGGGGTCAAAGAGCGCCCACACTGCTCCCCAGAGCGCCCCGATGTCCCTGCCCAGCCCGCAAAGGCCATGTGGGAGGAGGCTTGTCCCCCTCCTTCCTGGGTTCCCAGGCCGGTTAGGGGCTGAGCTGACACAACCTTGACCGCCCCCTTCCCCGGGCTTCCTGGATCCTGTGTGTACCCCTCCATCTGTCCCTTCCTGTCGCCTTATTTCTTCTTGTTTTGAGAGCACTGCTCTGATCCTCCTCTGGGAGCCCCGAAACCTCAACTGGGGGGAGGCTAGCCTAAGGAAAGCCCTAGGACTTCGCAGCTTAGAAACCTCAAACTCCCTGCCACTTCCTTTCCCAGGACAAAATTATGTCCGACTCTGTCTCCACCCGGTCCGACGTGGGCGGGCTCCGTGCTGAGTCTGTGGGTACTCGTGGCTCCTACTGTAGAAAGCCAAGACCCCCCCTCCCCCGCCCTGTGGCAGGATCTCCCCACTCAGAGTGCCAGCCCCTCTCCCCTAATTTGCCCGCCCTTGTCACCTGTTTCTCAGCCCCTGCCCAGGGCCCCGCCTCGTTAGGTTGGCTGCCGCAGCCACGGTAACAAGTTGTACAAAGTGAAAAATGTGGGCGAGATAAGTATGGTGGCTGAAATGTCTCATTTCAAAGCGATGTAGTAAAAAATAATGATGTTAAGTATTATGCTAAGTGAAATAAGCCAGTCAGAGAAAGGTAGTATCCCATGGTCTCACTCAGATGTGGAATCTAATGAACAAAATAGATCCAGAGACAGAGAAGCAGGGAACAGACTGTCGAACCTCAGAGAGAAGGTGGGGGAGGGGGGCAGAGATCAACCAACGAACTTGTGTGCTATATGCATAATCCGGGACACAGACAATAGGGTGGGGAGGGGTGGGGGCGGGCTCCATGGGGTCAATGCGGGGAAAATAATTAATTAAAAAAATACATATATTCCCTAACGGTGCCTTTTTCTCCCAAACGTTTGCCTCTGCTTTCCAGGCAGCTGGGCCTGGACCTGGTGCCCAGGAAGGAGTACGCGATGGTGGACCCGGAGGACATCAGCATCACCGAGCTCTACCGCCTGGTGGGTGCCGGGAGCGTGGGCGCAGCTCGCTCCTGATTTTGTGGTTTCCATGGCACTCTTTGTACTTAATTTTGCAAGAACAGGATGTTCCCGGTTTAATCCGGAGCGAGGAGGGAGGATGCGAGCTGAGGTGACCGTGCCCTGAGCACAGCGCTCAGACGCTCACCTGTCCCAGAACAACGGGGCATCCCCCACTCAGCCCTCCGCTCCCGGGCCCAGGGCATAAACCCAGACCGTTTCTCTTGCAAATCTCTGTGCTTTTGCCTAGTCTAGTGAGATGCTTGCGAGCCGTGCGTGCGCATCTGTTGTGCTTCAGGACAAGGCTGTGACTAATGGTGTCCAATCCTTCCTCACCCACGCGCACCCCCTGCCCCCATCATGACGACGTGCAGACTCTTGCCAGTGTCTCCGTGGTCCCCACTGCTGGTCTGACCCTAACCCTCCCACCCCCAGTCCGTTCCTAAGAGCTGAGCCATGGGGATAGACCCAAACAACTAGACCTGACTTCATTCTCTTCCCTTCACCAGCTCTGTGATCTTGGACTTACTGCTTCATCTCTGAGAGCCTCCGTTTCTTCATCCCGTTCATTGGGGGGTGTCATCCTTATCACCATGTTTATCATGAAAGTTACATGGAAACACCTGTTAGAAAGCCTTTCCTGGCAGCAGTGTTTGCCAAGTGCCTAAGCATTCGGGCGATTTCCATTGTCCCTCACCTTTAGTTCATCCTTATAGACGGGCAAGGCGGCCAGAAGGATGGATACCCTGACACGCTAAAACTGACGATTCGATGGGCTGTTTGATGACGTAAATGATAACAGCTTGAACATGATAGAGATTTATTTCTCTCTCACAATATGCAAGTCCAGAGGCAGGAAGTTCTGGGCTTGTTTGTGGTTTCCTGGTGTCAGAAGGGGACCCAGCCTCTTTTCCTTCCGCTCTGCAGTGCATGGCTTCTGTCGTCAAGATACTTTAAAGCACAACGTAGCTGCCAGAGCGCCAGCCATTGCAGCTGCTCTCCAGCAGCAGGGACGAGAAAGGCTCCTCTCAGTTGGTTCAGCTGCTTTAAGGAGCCTTCTTGGAAATTCCACACAACACTGGCACTGGTAGCTCATTGGCCAGAACATAGCCACACCCTCGTATTTAGACGGGGGTGTCAAATACTGTATTTGATAAACAGCGAACAATGCCTGGTGCAAATACACGTTACTTTCCCCGGTTTGATCTTGCGGGCCAGCAATTTTATCTCCGTTCCTTTCGTTTATGGTCGCATGTGGGATGGCAAATGGATCTCATCTTTCAGCGTTCTGGCTTGGTGGTGGTAGCTGCTGCGGGTGCCATGTTGATGAGATTCAGGGTCTCCTCTGGGCTGTGATTGATGGGCACTGACTGTGACTGGGGGGGAAGAGCCACCACTAATTAGCCATGACTGACTGCCTTGGATGGTTTGGTTTTTTGTTTTGTCTTTAGTATTTTATAGCTCCAGTCCTAGTCCACAGTCTCCACTTTACAGGTGAGGAACACGGAACGCTGTGATTTTGCATGGACACGTAACTTCTCCTCTGTAGCGGTTGCATTTTTGTTTCTAAAGCAAAGAAAATAGCCCACGGAAAACCCCAGTGATTCCACGGTGTCTTCCTCAAGGCAGCTCCGGGTGCCTGCCTAGACCCGGCCTGGGCACCCAGGTTGTCTGTGACACTTGGTCTTCTTCTCTGGGTGGCATCAGAGTGACTGACAACATCGACTTCCAGGGAGAGGAGAAAGGTTGTCCTGGTGACTCATTGTCACCCGTGGACCAGGGACCGTGGCGTGGAGCTGCGAGCCCCTCAGAGGATGTGGCCACATCTCTTTCCCACAGCGTCTTCTCTGTCGTCTTTTAGACGCAGGTGTTCACACCTCCCTAGGTCCTCCCTACATCATGAAAAAAACCTTCTTGCTTTAGGCTTTGGTAGCCCTGTTCGCAGTCTTTCTCACCCAGTTGTGCTCATCTAAGCAGGAAAGAGTGCTACCCCCCATTGTTAACGTCTGTGCTCTAGGAAGGTTTGGGCTGCTGCCCAGCTTTCGAGTAAAGGGCATCGTAGCCACTGGCTTCTCTGGACACGTGAGCCGGCGAGAGGTCTGCGTGGGAACCTTTCTTGTTTTTATAAGATCACCTCCCCTGCTTGTTGTGTGATCCTTCGTGGGTAGACCAGTAATCTCAGACAGGCAGCCCCACCCCCATCACCACCAAGATACTGGGAAATGTCTGCAGACATTTTCGGTGTCACAATTGGGGATGGGGGGGCCGGGGTGGGGAGAGGGGCTTTGGGTATCTGGGGGGTGGAGGCCAGAGAGAGAGAGAGAGAGAGCTGCTGACAATCCCACAAAGCCCAGGGCAGCCCACAACAAAAATATCCAGCCCTCTTCCCCTCCCACCCCCCCAAAAAAACCACCCCAGAAATATCCAGCCCAGACTCCCTAGAGCTGAAGTGAAAAAGCCCAGTGGTGAGGATTCACCCAGTAAGGAACGCACTGTATGCGGGTTAGACACTTGCGCCCCCTCAGTCTTGGGGTGAGTCTGTCTGTTTTCCTAACCAGCGTCTCCTGAATGGTGAGCACGTTTGTTTAGAGTCCCTGGTGCTGGAGTTGTGAATTATTTCCGAGATGGGCTCTGCCTGTCTGTTGTGACTCCTGAGTCACAGCTCGTCAGCAGGAGTGTGCCTCGGAGGTCTGATTGCAGCAGTGTTTTCGCCGGGATATTTTTAGCAGTTCCCCAAAGTGGTGAGTTACCAGGAGGTAAACAAGTGATCATCACCTGCTCCAGTCCAGATCCTCCCACATCTCAGGCACAGGGGTGGAGTCGGGCGGGCTCGTTACTAGCGGGCATGCCGAGCCCAGCGGTGCCTAGGTGCTGATCACGCAAAGATGCTGCAATGCCTTCCATCGGCTGGGATTTGATCCCTGCACATGTCCTCAATCCGTGACGCTCAGCTCACTGCACATTAATGTCACCCGGGGAGCATTTGAAAGACCACTGTCTGCAGCCACGTCCCCTAGGAACTCTCACTTAATTGTTCTGGGTAGGACCTGGGCATACAGGCGGGTTTTTGAGCTCCTGTGGCGGTTGCGTGTGCCCCCGAGGCCGAGAGCAGGAATCTAGATGTGGTTCCCCTCGCTCCCCCGCCCACAACGAGGG